CTTGAAGCTAGGAGTTATAGATTAGCATGGACAACATAGAGAGACTCTGACTCTACCAAAAAAAATTTTTTTAAGCTGGGAGTGTTGGTGTGCACCTGTAGTATTAGCTACTTTAGAGGCCGAGGCAGGAGGATCGCTTAGCCCAGGACTTTGAAACTGCAGTGAGCCATGATCACACCCTGCATTACAGCTCAGACAACAGAGCAAAACTCTGGCTAAAAATAAAATAAAAATTTCCCTGAACTCAGGACAAAGCTAGACACACACCCACCAATGCGTGTTTAAATAGTGTCCGAGTATTCATACTCTGTTATAAATCCTGTTTTCTTTTTTTTTTTTTGAAACAGAATTTCACTCTGTCCTGCCCAGGCTGGAGTGTAGTGGCTCAATCTTGGCTCACTGCAACCTGTGCCTCCCGGGTTTAAGTGATTCTCCTGCCTCAGCCTCCCAAGTAGCTGAGATTACAGGCATACACTGCCATGCCTGGATAATTTTTGTATTCTTTTTTTTTTTTTTTTTTTTTTTGAGACGGAGTTTCGCTCTTGTTACCCAGGTTGGAGTGCAATGGCGCGATCTCGGCTCACCGCAGCCTCCGCCTCTTGGGTTCAGGCAATTCTCCTGCCTCAGCCTCCTGAGTAGCTGGGATTACAGGCACGCGCCACCATGCCCAGCTAATTTTTTGTATTTTTAGTAGAGACGGGGTTTCACCATGTTGACCAGGATGGTCTCGATCTCTTGACCTCGTGATCCACCCGCCTCGGCCTCCCAAAGTGCTGGGATTACAGGCTTGAGCCACCGCGCCCGGCCTAATTTTTGTATTCTTAATAGAGATGAGGTTTTGCCATGTTGTCCAGGCTGGTCTCAAACTCCTGACCTCACGTGATCCACCTGCCTTGGCTTCCCAAAGTGCTAGGATTACAGATGCGAGCCACCACGCCTAGCCTAAATCCTGTTTTCTTGAGCTGTAAGCAACTTATGGGCAAAAATTGTTGTTTTTAGCACCAGCATAGTACTGGGCACATAATTAGGGTTCAGCGAATCTTTAGGAGAATTCTGCTTGAGTGATTAAGGAAAGGCCCATACAGAGGTGGTAACATTTGAACCAATTCATTTTTTTGTGTGTATAAATTTTTTCTTTTTTGAGATTGGGTCTCATTATCTCCCAGGCTGGAGTTCAGTGGCCCAGTCACAGCTGACTGCAGCCTCAACTTCAGCCAGTTCTTAATAGATGAGTAGGAATTTCCCAAATGGATCTGGGAAAGAAATTCCTGGCCAAGGGAGCAATTGTATAAGTAGATGAGACAATGAAGAGTGTGCAGATGACTAGCAAGGCTTTCTAATTTCCACATGTAGTTTGAGGCACACGTTATCAATTGTAGGATGTTACCTCCCATGACTATCCAGTGCCAGCCAACCTAGAGTAGCTCATGGGGTAAAGAAAAGAAAGCTGCTCTTTCCCCAAATTATATATTCGGAAGTTGAAGATTAGTCTTCGATGTGAATATGTATTCGTGTGATTTGTTAGTAATTTCTGTTGCTCATCTTGTCCTAGAGGAAAGTGACTTCTTCCTAACCTCACTGGAGTTTACCTCCCTGAGACATCTCAGGTCTTAAGACAGAAGTATGCTGAATTAAGCTGAGGGAGCTATAATTAAAATAGTCAAGAGCTTATTTTCCTAGGTAATCCAATTTGTATTCATACTTAAGCATAAAAGTACATTTAATTTAAAGCTTTATACTCTTGATATTGATTTTACAAACTTTGTTAAACATATAAACCTGGATCCAGGCGCTGTGGCTTACCACTGTAATCCCAGCACTTTGGGACGCTGAGGTGGGTGGATCACCTAAGGTCAGGAGTTTGAGACCAGCCTGGCCTATATAGTGAAATGCTGTCTCTAATACAGAATTAGCTGAGCCTGGTGGCAGGCACTTTTAATCCCAGCTACTCAGGAGGCTGAGGCAGGAGAATTGCTTGAATTCAGGACGTGGAGGTTGCAGTGAGCCAAGATCACACCGTTGTACTTGAGCCTGCGCGACAAGAACAAAACTCTGTCTCAAAAAATAATAATAAAATTTCAACCAGCAAGAGAAGGAATTAGATACACTTAGAGATGATGGTTTTCAAATGAAAATACATATTCTCACTACAAGTTAATTCACTATAATACAGTTTTTATGGTGAATTTAAAACACCAAGCACATTCCAAAAAGAACTGTGGCTCAGAGTTTCACGAACAGTGAAAGCCTACGCTGATTGATCTCAGTCTGTCTTTAGTAATGAAGCCCAATGACTAACATATAAGAAGACAATTCAAGCTATAGTTTGTTCAGAAAAAGGAGGATAAAGTCTTCCTCATCTTCTGGATGGAACCTAGGAAAGATATTCTACAATGTCTTACTGCTTATAAACAATTTTAACAAATTAGCATTAGCTTAATGGAAGGAAGAACAATTCATGGCTTGCTGATGAGAAATTCAATTCACATTTATGCGGCCTGCTTTGGAGCAACTTGTGCTGTTAGCTGATGATCTTAAGTTTCTCTGTTGAGCATTACCTGTGGAACTGTCCAAATCTAGGCTTTTAGGAAAAGAATATCTTTGGTATGCCCAGCAATTTATAGGCAATACATGGTAATTAGAAACAGTTCTTCAATAAAACAAGAAAGGCTTGGGTCAGGTGCAGTGGCTCATGCCTGTAATCCCAGCATCTTGGGAAGCTAAGGCTAAAGGATCTCCCTTTATTTATTTATTTATTTAAGTACAACTTTAAATTTTTCTCCCACTAGGTCTTCCCAGGGAGGGTCTCTTGAGGCCAGGAATTTGTGACCAGCCTGGGCAACATAGTGTGACCCTATCTCTACAAAAAAATTTAAGAATTAGCTGGGTGGGTGGCGCATGCCTGAAGTTCTAACTACACAGGAGGCTAAGGTGGGAAGATTGCTTGAGGCCAGGAGTTATGGTGAGCTATGATTGTACCGTTGCACTCCAGCCTAAGTGACCAAAGCAAGACTCTGTCTCTAAAAAAAATAAAAATTAAAAAAAGCTCTCGTTAGAGGGCTTTAAGTGCTGTCTTAATCTCAATGGTAGCTTCAATTCCTTTGTCTATTAAATCTTATTTTTCTAACATGTTAATTTTTTTTGAGGCAGGGTCTCACTCTGTCATCCATGCTGGAGTACAATGATGCCATCTCAGCTCACTGTAACCTCTGCTTCCTGGGCCCAAACAATCTTTCTGCCTCAGCCTCCCAAGTAGCTGGGACTACTGGCATGTGCCGCCATGCCTGGCTAATTTTTGTTTTTTGTTTTTTTTTTTAGTCAGGGTTTCACAATGTTGCCCAGTCTGGTCTTGAACTCCTGGATTCAAGTGATTTGCCCCCCTTGGCCTCCCAAAGTCCTGAGACTAGAGGTGTGAGCCACTGCACCCGACCTAAGGTTTCTTGACCTTTCCCTAAATAAAATAGGAAAAGAATCACAAATTTTAATTCTACTACTTCCCCTTGAGGCACTAAGCTGTGAAGAAAACGTTATCTTATTAGCTAACAAATAACAAGAGATAGCTGTCTACTTCTTACAAAGTTAAAGTCAGACTTCCTTTTACATTTCTAAAACATAATGCATGGAAAATTAAAGTGAACTCAAGGCTTTATTAGTTCATTTTAATGCCATTAGTGTGCCAGTATCATTCTACCTTTCTGCTTGTCTGCTTACCAATTAGCACAGAGTAAATACTGATTGTTAGAAGAAAAATGAAACACGATGCTGGTCAGGCAACTTGTAGTGTCTTGGCACATAAGAAATAGACTTGGCATTTCTTTCCTTCTTCTTTTTTTTTTTTTTTTTTTTTTTTTGAGGCAGAAACTTGCCCTGTTGCCCAGGCTGAAGTGCGGTGGCAAAATCTTGGCTCACTGAAACCTCTGCCTTTCAGGGTCAAGCGATTCTCCTGCCTCAGCCTCCTGAGTAGCTGGTATTACAGGTGTCAGCCACCACACCTGGCTAATTTTTGTATTTTTAGTAGAGACAGGGTTTCGCCACACTGGCCAGGGTGGTCTCAAACTCCTGACCTCAGGTGATCTGCCTGCCTTGGCCTCCCAAAGTGCTGGGATTACAGGAGTGAGCCTCTGTGCCAGGCCTAGACTTAGCTTTTTTTTTTTTTGGAGACAGTCTTGCTCTGTCACCCAGGCTGTGCTCTGTCACCCAGGCTGGAGTGCAATGGCGTGATCTCTCAGCTCACCACAACCTCCACCTCTTAGGTTCAAGTGATTCTCCTGCCTCAGCCTCCTGAGTAGCTGGGATTGGGATTACAGGCACCCGCCACCACGCCTGGCTAACTTTTGTATTTTTAGTAGAGATGGGGTTTCACCATGTTGGTCAGGCTGGTCTCGAACTCCTGACCTCAGGTGATCTGCCCACCTTGGCCTCCTAAAGTGCTGGGATTACAGGCATGAGCCACCACACCCAGCCTTGCACTAGTAATTATTGTTGTATACCTTTATAACATTAGAAAACTGAGACTTAGAGAGGTGAAGTAACTTGCCTAGTGTTAATACTTAATGAGTGGTAGAGCTGGAATTAAAATTTCAATCTGACTCCAAAGCTCATGCTCTTAAGCAATATGCTGTATTGGCTCCATGATGATGATGATGATGGTGATAACAGTGTTGTTAATTACTGTATGTTGAGCATCTCCTGAATGCCAAGCAATACATTTGCCACCTTTTGTATTCTCATTTTACAACAGTGGAAACTGCTTATGCTCATGGTCTGCTTTTAGGCTTATATATATACGTACCTAGGTTCCCAAGTATTGGGCATTATTAATTGAATTGTAGTTTCAGTGCATTTTTCCTTTTACTCTTTCCTATATGGTCAATATCTTAATGTTTTTCTAATTACTACCAATTAACATTGGTAGTAACTTAATGTTGTCTGAATGTTTCTGTACTTTTTTCCCTTACTGATGACTTAGCATTAACGTTTTCTTATTTGTTACCTTGGTTTTTTTTTTTTTTTTTTTTCTCTCTCTATCAAAAGCAGATAATGGGGCTAAGATAATAAGAGAGAAGAGAATGTACCAAGGACAGGCTAAGTAAGAGAAAGTTCAGATCCTAGAAATCTTTCTGGGATCTCAGTTTGGAGAACAAAAATTTAAATGAAAATTTCTATTTTTTTGTAGCTGTCTTTTTTTATTATTATTATTTTATTTTATTATTTTTTTTTTTTTTTAAGAGACAGGGCTCACTATGTTGCCGAGGCTGGACTCAAACTCTTGGGGTCCAGTGATCTTCCCAACCTCAGCCTCCTGAGTAGCTGAGACTACAGGTGCATGCCACTGCACCCAAGGGTAGCTGTCTTTTATTGAAGGAATATTAGGGCTTTGGTACTTACAGCTTGGTAATATAAGACACAGGATGTGACCTTACTATCCTTCGTTTTCTTATCTGAAAATAGGGTAAATAAATATACCTCCAATGCATGGTTAGTTGTGGTGATGATTAAATGCAGTAACTAATATAAAACTTCTTAATACAGTAATCAAAATTGTTAGCTTCCTCTTTTACCTTTAGATTTAGTGGAATAATCCAGGTTATGTGGAGAATATGTTAAGATTGTGTTATGTGTGGTTTTTTTTTACATTTAGAAAATTTATGGTACTATACTAAATAAAAATTTATCAAGCTATATCTTTAATATTTATGTACTTGGCTATATGTAAGTTAGTTACGGATTAAAAAAGGAAAAATCAGTGTGCAAATTGGACCTTCATTTGCTACATATGATTAGCTGATATTTCCATGTATTAATGCCCAGCATGTAGGGCTACTCCCTGTATTTTTTTATTCCCCGAGATCATATGGAGATGATTGAGTTTTAGCAGGAAGAGAACTATTATATAATACCTTCCAAATATTTATTTCAAGCTTATTGTTTTAGTAAACAGATTTTCAGAAATATTTGTATTCTCAGAAAAGGTATATTCAATTCTAAAATATTGTTTCTAATGTTATTAATTCCCAGTACATAGATTACACCCTGCTTTGGGCATGCCCACCTACAGTTAGGAAATAAAATTTTAGAATAAGCAGTGTGTCTTAGTCTGTTCAGGTTACTATAATAGAATACAATAGACTGGGGAGCTTAAACAACAAACCTTTCTTTCTTTTCTTTTCTTTTCTTTCTTTCATTTTTGAGACAGGGTCTTGCATTGTTGCCTAGGCTGGAGTGCAATGGTGTAATCATAGCTCACGACTCACCTCCTTGTGCGCAAGCAATCCTCCCACCTCACCTCCCCTCCCTCCATTAGCTGGGACTACTGGCACATGCCACCTTGCCTGGCTAATTTTTAAATTTGTTGTAGAGACAGAGTCTCATTATGTTGTCCATGCTGATCTTGAACTCCTGGGCTTAAGTAATCCTTCAGCCTCGGCCGCCAAAGTGCTGGGATTACAGGCAAGAGCCACCACGCCCAGCCACAGACATTTATTTCTAACAGTTCTGGATACTGGGAAGTCCAAGATCAAGGTGCCAGGAGATTGGGTACCTGTGAGGGCCTTCTTCCTGGTTTTCAGACAGTTGTCTTGTGCGCCCTCACATGATGGAAAGAGAGAGCTCTCTGGGTCCTTTTTGATAAGGTACTAATCCTATTAGTGAGGGCTTTACCCTCAATGACCTAATTATCTCCCAAAGAACCCACTTCCTATCACTATCACATTGGGGGTTTGAATTTCAATATGTAAATTGTAAAGGGACACAAACATTCAGTCCATAACACTGTGAAATCTGATACTTGTGAGGTAAACTTGTGTCTAAAACATACCTTTGAATGGATTGCTGGTCCTATTAGCCTTTTACTCATAACCATCCTGGTAATTACATTTGTAAATTCTTTGGCATGCTCTTGAGCAGGCTCCCTTTCTTCTGTGACTCAGAGCTTGGAGAGTTCCAACCAAACTCAAAGTCAGGAACAGAGGGTGTGGACTTTTGAGCTATGCCACTCAGCAGCTAGAATGTTGTTGGCAGTCTCCTCCCCTTCCTGCACTTCAGCTCTACACAGTGTGCATTCTGGAATGACAGGCATTTCTGTGTGAAGAGAGCCAGTGTGAAGACAGTTTTGTAAGAACTACAAGTGCCCAGGCTGTATGGGAAACAGAAACTTCAGCAGATGAACTGACTTCATGCCTTTTCCTGATGTTTGGCAGTGACACTGAGAGAGGATTGCGTGTCCCCTCTTTATGTGGATTTATCTTTTAAGAAAAGTTTGCTTTTGTCCGGGACAATTTGTTGTCGTGAGATACATCAGACAATATAATCATGGGGCAAGCTGATGTCTCCAGACCGGTAAATCCAGATGCAGTTGGTGAGTAATAGAAGGCAGAGAAACAGAAAATCTTGACAGAAGCAAGACAGATTGACAGGTGAACTTGAGTATTTATGCGAAGTTAAACATGAGAATGTTGATGATCCTAACTTTGGAATGTTTATGTTTGTGAGGAATGAATGAAGTCATGCAGAGCATGTTGAGAAACTTTTAAAAAATTAAGTTTTTTTAAAACTAAAAACTTAAATTCAGTTTATTAACTTATCACTCACAGTTTTGTTTTACTTGATCTCTTTGAAGTGTTTTATATCATATTGCTAAGGAATTATCTCTTAATTTCTTGCCAGTACTGAAGTGCTACAGAAACTTACTTAGAATTCAGAGATATTTTCCTAGTATTTTACAAAACTTGGAAAATAGAATTGTTGACTTCTATAAACAGAACCACTTTTAAGAATTGACTTAAGTTTTTAGACTTGGTTATACATTTTCCAAATATGTCTCAAGCATTTTCCATTGTGCTAGTGTTTCCGTTTCTCATAAGTCAACACTTTGATATAAACTTTTCTGAAGTTGTTACTTTACATTTGAAATGTTACTGTCTAAGGGATAGCTAGAGACCAAGCTAATTGTGAGTATAGTTCAGAGTTTCAAATCTTCTATATGAAATTGTAGTCACTTGTCACTGCAAGCTCATTTTCCTAATCTTGTAGGGTTTAATGTAAGATGACAATCATAAATTGGGAAAAATAGTTTTAAGTGATGTTCATTAAAGGGTCGCTTAAATAGAAGCAAAACTAGGGAAAGCCTGTGAATCATATCTGGACATTATAATATTTGCAAAAGATTTATACCTTCACTTTGATTTATGGAGCAACAGAAAACATGTTCAGTCCTAGGCTGCGGTTTGGTTTTTTTTTTTTTTTTTTTCAGAAACAATATGGGTGACTTTTTTAAAAAAGCATAAAAGTGTAGAAACATAGATAACACTCCCAAATGTTTCATAATGTAATGAGATTGTGTTTCTAAAGGTAGTGTTTTCACCTGAGAACTTCCTAGATGAAATATCCCCAGCATTATTTTTCACGTATTACTGAAACCGAGGGACATGGATCACAAAGTGAGTCATTCAGCAACAGATTTTCAGAACTGAAGTCAGGACTTGACTCACTTTACTTTGATCACTAGGGCTATGTCTTTATCAATTCATTAACTCACTTAAAAAAGTGAAATGCTTTATAAATAGAAAAAGATATAAAGAAAAATATAAAGAATCATCTGGGACCATTACCCAGCCTGACAGATGAAATTTAGAATGTAAAGATAAACTTCACCCTATCCTTCTCTTTATGTCTGCATTCCCTTCTGATGACATTGTGCTTCTTTGTTCCCATAATTAAATACTCTCCTATATTTGATAAATAACTCACTTTTGGGGGCTGTAAATTCTCCTGTGCTTTCTACACCAAACCTTAGTTCTTTGTTAGCAAGTATAGTAAGGACTCAATGCTAGGCATTTATCTATGAGATGAAAATGAAAGGGCTTTGAAAAATAGTAAATTGTAGAGCAAGTACAATTTAGTGGTGAGTGGTAGTATTTATGAAGAATGCCCATCTAATGTCTTTTTTTTTTTTTTTTTTTTTTTTTTTGAGACGGAGTTTCGCTCTTGTTACCCAGGCTGGAGTGCAATGGTGCGATCTCGGCTCACCGCAACCTCCGCCTCCTGGATTCAGGCAATTCTCCTGCCTCAGCCTCCTGAGTAGCTGGGATTACAGGCACGCGCCACCATGCCCAGCTAATTTTTTGTATTTTTTTTTTAGTAGAGACGGGGTTTCACCATGTTGACCAAGATGGTCTCAATCTCTTGACCTCGTGATCCACCCTCCTTGGCCTCCCAAAACCATCTAACGTCTTTATACTGTATTTAAAAAGTTCATCTGAGTAAAGTTTGGTTTGTTTTTTGTTCTTTTTTTGAGACGGAGTTTCACTCTTGTTGCCCAGGCTGGAGTGGGATGGTGAGATCTCAGCTCACCGCAACCTCCGCCTCTTGGGTTCAAGTGATTCTCCTGCCTCAGCCTCCCAAATAGCTGGGATTACAGGCATGCACCACCACGCCTTGGCCTCTCAAAGTGCTGGGATTACAGGTGTGAGCCACCAGGCCCAGCCAAAGTTAGGTTTTTTGTTTTTTTTTTTTTTTTTTGCGAATATATTTTTTATTTAGTCATTCTGTTTACAATTGAAACTCTGGGAATTCAAAATTAACGTCCTTGCCCGTGAGCTTCTTATAGACACCAGTAAAAGTTTCAACCTTGTGTTCCACATTGTTCTGCTGTGCTTTGTCCAAATGAACCTTTATGAGCCAGCTGCCATCCAGTTTCACGCGGATTCTCTTGCCCACAATTTCACTTGGGAAGACCAGGTCCTCGAGGATTGCATCGTGCACGGCTGTCAGTGTACGGCTCCTGGGACGCTTTTGTTTATTTTTTGTACGGCTTTTTCGAGTTGGTTTAGGCAGAATTCTCCTCTGGGCGATAAAGACAACATGCTTCCCACTGAACTTTTTCTCCAATTCGCGTACTAGCCGGACTTGGATTTTCTAGAAAGATTTTAGTTGAGGAACAGGAACAAAGATTATGATAGCTTTCCCGCCACCACCACCTTCAATTTCCTTGGCTGCCGTAATATTCAGCTCCCTGAGCTGAGCCTTGAGGTCCGAGTTCATCTCCAGCTCCAGAAGAGCCTGGGAGATGCCGGACTCGAACTCGTCTGGCTTCTCGCCATTGGGCTTCACGATCTTGGTGCTCAAACTGAACATGGCTTTCTCCTTGGCGAGTGCCGACTTAGGAAAAGACCCAAGTCTCGCGAGAGCACGTCAGAATCCGGCGGCGGAAGCAAAGTTAGGTATTTTTATGCTTCTAAAAAAATAAGAATCAAATTCATCAATTCTTTTCCCACCAGTAGCCCTAGTAAAAAGCATTTGAGAAAGAAATAGAAGTCACTCAGGAGCCTAACTAAGGTTTTTATGTTTTCTCTGGATTTAATTTTGGGGTTTTACTTCCTATTATCTAGATAATAAGTAGTTGACTATCAGCAATTTTCATGGACTGACTCCATTATTATGCTATTTATAATTTAGGCTGTATTCTGTATGAGCAAATAAGGACGAGGTTATGAAGGCTTAACATTGAAAACCTTGAGGGCAATACCAATTCTATTAAAGTTTTTTACCAAACAACATTTTCTTAATTTAATTTTAAAAAGCTTTATGTGGATAGCTCTTTGGAAAATCTTACCATAGTATTTGGAAGGATACAAAATAAATTAGAACCTAAACTATTTGTTTACTATTCTAGGCCTATAATACGGCACTTAGTTTTGAGCTTTGGAATTAATAGTACTAGGTTTGGCAAGTCAACCGATGTAAAACATATGAATGAGTATATTGAATTGACTTATTACTACTTTCAGGCACTCTGACTAGCACAGAGGCCCCTATGTAGATATCATTCATGTCTATGCCCTCAAGAAGTTTGTTTTCTAGTTGAGAATTTAAAATATGAAAAAAGGTATTCATAGTATTTGTAAAAATTTTTTAAATATTAAGATATACTTCTTTTTTTAATTTGATTTTTTGTTTTAACTTAAAAAAATTTTTTTTGTAGAAATGGGGTCTCACTGTTTTCACCAGGCTGGTCTCCATCTCCACCCTCAATTAATCCTCCCACCAATTGGTAGGATTATAGGTGTGACCCACCAAGCCTGACCCACTCCTTTTTTTAAATTAATTGATTCCCTTGACTTATAATGAAAGCCCAGAGCTATTTACCAAAGAGTCTGCTTTCAAATAAATTACCTTTGCATGAGGACTCATATGCAAATTTGTGAGATATTATAGTCATATCCAACCAGAGTTTCTACCATAGAATCTTTCTAACAACTGGTAAACTGAGTATTTGAATGTAGATAAGGAATCTGTGCTGTGGTATCCATTCAAGGAAATAAGCAGTTGCTCTCATCACTTAATTTAAAAAAATTATCCTTAAATAAAATACACTCATAAGAAGCATGTAGATTTAACTAGATAAACACTGAAATCAGGGCAGAGTGCATTGCTTCATGTCTATAATCCCAGCTCTTTAGGAGGCTGACGCAGGAAAATCACTTGAGTCCAGGAGTTTGGGACCAGCCTGGGCGACAGAGGAAGACAATGCTTCTACAAAAATTAAAATTTAGCCGAGTGTGGCGGCACTCATCTAGTCCCAGCTACTTAGGAGGCTTAGTTGGGAGGATTGCTTGAGCCTGGTAGGTTGAGGCTGCAGTGACTCATGATTGCATCTTTGCACTCCAGCCTGGGTGTCAGAGGGAGACACTATCTCAAGAAAAAGAAACACAAACTTTCAAATCCTACTTTGTAGTTCTTAATAAACATAAAAATTGTTCACCAAAGTCCTTTACTATGTGTCATATTAAAACAACTAGCGACCAGGCACGGTGGCTCAAGCCTGTAATCCCAGCACTTTGGGAGGCCGAGGCGGGTGGATCACGAGGTCAGGAGATCCTGGCCAACATGGTGAAACTACTAAAAATACAAAAAAAAAATTAGCTGGGCATGGTGGCGCATGCCTGTGGTCCCAGCCACTCGGGAGGCTGAGACAGGAGAATTGCCTGAACGCAGGAGGTGAAGGTTGTGGTGAGCCGAGATCACGCCATTGCACTCCAGCCTGGGTAACAAGAGCGAAACTCCGTCTCAAAAAATATATATATATACATATTTGTTTGTTTATTTGTATATTTGTTTATTTTTGAGAAGGAGTCTTGCTTTGTCACCCAGGCTGCAGTTCAGTGGCACCATCTCAGCTTACTGAAACCTCTGCTTCCCAGGTTCAAGTGATTCTCCTGTCTCAGCCTCCCCGGGAGCTGAGACTACAGATGACTGTCACCAAGCCTGGCTAATTTTTGTATTTTTAGTAGAGACAGGGTTTTGCCATGTTGGCCAGGTTGCTGTCAAACTCCTGACCTCAAGTGACCTGCCCACCTT